TCTCCTAAAATGAACGAGTGAAAATAACTCAACTTGAGTGCTATTTAACTCTTTCATCTAGAAAAAACCGGCCTTCTAATCTTGAGTTAAAATCACTCAAGTGAAAGAGTTATATGGAAATAGCTCAACTCAATTTGAGTGAAAAAAATTTCACTCAAACTTGAGTTATTTTCACTCGAGTTTGAGTGATTTTCAGTATTACCTGAGCGAATCGTTTTCACTCAAACTTGAGTGATTTTAACTCGTGTTTGAGCGATTTTCAGTATTTCAGTTTGTAAATTGCAGTCAAAATTTTTACTGTTAATATTCGAAATTTTTGTATTTAGTGGTGCCATCTATCGTGAGCGATGAAAAATACTGTAGTTTTCGTTTAAAAAAAATTCCTTTTGATAGAGAAAGCCTTAGATAGGAATTTTTTTCATCTTAACGTTTGTTGAACTTAAATATCGAATTAGATAATATAGTACTTGAGAAAGTTAGGAATTTTTTTTATCTTAACGTTTGTTGAACTTAAATATCGAATTAGATAATATAGTACTTGTGAAAGTTTTCGCTGTGAGCATATCGACACTGGCTGGGATTCGAACTGGCTTCCCGTCTGTCGTGAGATTGACCGATTAACCATCTCGGCTGCAGTCCTGTGACAAGACGGCTACAAAGAAATAATTAGTTTCATGAGCTGGGTCTTGTTGGCGAGGATAAAGTTTTTATTTGTTAAATCAAATTAGGTGAAAACACAGTTAAAAAAAATTTTCAGAGTTAACAGTTTGAATAGCAGCATTTTGTGGTTATCCATTTATTTTGATTGTATATGGTAAAACAATAATTAAATGAATTATTACTTAAGAGGTTTTTTTTATGAAAAATTTCTAACCACTCTAGATTTGAGTTTTTTTCTCTTTCCCCTAAGTTACGTCATTTTTCTTCGAAGTTTAATTTTTAAAAGTAAGGAGCTCTAAGCGAAGTTTTAAAGTAAGCAGTTTTGTAAATATTATGCTTATTTAGGTTCAATTGAAAATACTATGAGTCATTTTTTTTCGAACAAATTTATTCGTTTAATTTATAAAGCTTTATTTTCAAGCAATAAAAAAGGTATATTGTTTTAAATTGCCTAAATTTTTTTNTCACTCAAGTTGAGTTAAAAAAATTTAACTCTTTTTTTGAGTAGGGGAAATAACTCTTTCATTTTAAGAGAGCAAGGTTCAAAAGATCTACCAAGAGAAAAAAAGTGAACAAAATCTATTCAGTCTAAAGAAAGTAGTTCTCAATTATAATAAATTCCGATGTATATGGTTAACTATAATGTTATATAATAGATTAATATCTATATTAATTGTGCGTAATAATAACTTAATACATTAAAATTTTTATTACAAATACAAAAAGTAAGTTAATTCACTCCCTTGTTGATGAAAATCTTACTAAAACATTGATGCAGTGTGTTGGATTTTTGTGTTGTATATAGAGAATTAGTACTCGATATTTTCTTTTTACCAATGCCCACCTGTGCTGACATTCGGCAACACGGGCGTATAAGGAAAGATTTGTTGGTCACTCTTTCATGGGCACCATATCAGGTGGACCAACGTTGCTCCCACAGTAAGGACAGATAGTAAAGAGAATGAAAGAACATCCATGCCTTGTCCGGGATTCAAACCCAGAACCTTTCTGATGCAAGTTCAGTTCCCTGACACCTACACAGTCCGGTCGGCTTAGCACTCAATATAACTTCTATGATTATGTTTAGATATCTATGACTATTTAAATCTAAATATAATAAATTAATTGCAATCTAAATCAGTGTAAGTACTTTTTGCAATTTATATGCTTATATATAGTCTATCTTCACAAACTCTATTTATTTCTGCATTATATTTTTACTATCTGATAAATAATAAAAACTTTACGAATTTAATTGTATTGTCAGCCTTTTTTCTCTATGAGAAAGTTACATAAAAATATTAGCATTCCAGGACTAAAATTCTACAAAAAAACAAAAATGATTTAAATTGACATAAATAAACTTAATTGTGCGTAATATCAGGATCAATTCTTAGCAATTATTGCATACATATTGTACTTTTGAACTTTATTTTTCCAGCTCATTAATTATCCATAATTCTTTTAATGTAAGGAAAATGACAAAAAATACGATAAGCATATATTTTCATTACAGTTTTAATGAATATATTTGAATCATTATCTTAATTTCAAGGATTCTTTATTTTAAGCTATCATTAATTATTTTAAAAGAAACAGTTAAAGTTAATTAACTTTCTAATTTATTATTTCTATTGTCTCATGAGTATTATTTCAAAAAGTTGTAAAAGTGTTCTAGTTATACGGCTCATTATCTAGCAACCATGCAGTTAAAAAAGCTTCAAGGATATTATAAAAATGAATAAATCTGAAAATATACATTTTAATGTAGTTAAAATACGCGTTGAAAATGTCTCATCTTGATTTTAAACGTAATTATTGTTTTCTCTTTTATATCTTTGTTTTATTGAGGTAGATATGAGCAAGAATATTGCTTTATTTCAAATAAGTACAAAATGTACACTTATTACTTTAATTGTACAGCTCATTTCAGTTTAAATGAAGATTTAACTTTTCTATTGTAAAGATAATTGGATTTTGATTCTGATACATTTTATGAATGTCCATCAGTATATTTTACTTTGTTTTATTTAAGTAATAATTGTAATGCTTTAATTGTTACGAAATTATCAAGACTTATTTCGTAATTACTGGAAAATTTACTTAAAGTATTACTCAGCAAATAATTAAAAAAGAAAAAGTACGAAGTGTATTTTACTATTGTTTCATTCTTTTTCAGTTATAAATAATCGTCGTGATAATAATTTTTATTCGTGCAAATAATTTATAATCATTTAGAGAGGAATTCATCATTATTAAAAGGTGAATTCAAAAAAATTCTTTCTACTAAAAAAAAATGTTTTAGTGGAGTGTCGCGATAAGTTGAAAGCCCTTTTGTTGTGTGTAACACGATTACGTTTTAGTTAAATGTGAGGAAATGCCATTACATTACACATTTAACTGTAATTCGAGTAACTTTTTTATGCTTCGTTAAGAAACCTTTTATCGTTGAGGAACTAAATTATTCCCTTTAAAAAATAAACAAAATTCCATCCAAGTGTTAAAAATATTTCTTCGAAGCCTTATCGCTTATTTGGTGAAACAATGACGTAACTGATAGTTAAAGTAATATTCAGTTACGTCATTGTTTCATCAAATGAACGTTATAATGTATTTTAGTATTTCACGTATTTACTCTACAAATATTTTATTTTGCTTTTGATGGATATCTTTAAGTTTTACGTATTTATTTATCAAAATAAAATTCTAACTTTAATTTTTATTATTTTATCATTTCTTTTATTTATGCTTAGCCTAATACTTACGTTCCAATAAAATCTAATTTAATATTTTTTCGAAGTTAACATAGAACCATATTTGATGCTTTTATTAATCTTTTATTAGCATGTTACACCAATCCCATCATTCTATTGAAATACTAAGCGACATTTTTCTGATATAGAGAAGATTCTTGTTAATAGAACTAAAAGTGTAATATTTTAATTTATGCAATTTCATTTGGGCTCTATTCACTTTTTTTAATTAAGTTAAGTGTTGTTACGTATTAAGTGTTTTATAAATATATTACTTTTAAAATTAAATTCTTTTCGAAAAATGTATATTCGTTTCATCTTTGTTGTTATTTGAAGGACGACATTTTTATCCAGCTTCTGAGCCTCTAATTTGTGTCCCTTTACAGTGTAAAAAAATTCCGGATCAAATTACGGTATAAGGTATCGACACTTTAGGTTCATAATCTGTCAAAACAATTTTACTGCAAAATTTTTCCCGAAATATTTAGTTAGAGAGGTAAATTGATTTTACAGTAATTATTACTCCAAAAATTACGGTATGTCAGATTTTTTTTCCATATCATATTTCTATTAAAAGGAAAATATACGGGAAAAAGTACCGAAACTTTTTATCGTAATTTAAATCGGAAATTTTCACAGTGGGATAAACCTTACCGTTTTACACGTTGCGTGAAAATACAACCATTAAACGCACTAAAAAATCATAATTAAATACAATTTGATTCGTTTTGTTTTGTTCATTTACGTCGCACTAGAGCTGCACAATGGGCTATTGGCGACGGTCTGGGAAACATCCTTGAGGATGATCCGAAGACATGCCATCACAATTTCGATCCTCGGCTGAGGGGATGCCACCCCCGCTTTGGTAGCCGGACGACCTGCACGCAAAGTCGAGCACTTTACGATAGAACAGTTTAACGAGGACCAATACCGCACACCCTCGGTCCCAATGCAGACTGATCCAAGTGGTCACCAACCCGCACTCTGACCGCAGCTAGTGATGCTTGAATTCGGTGATCTGCTGGGAACCGTACGAACCGTACACTGCGGGACAAATACAATTTGAAAAGCTGATTTTATTACTTAATTGTTTTAAATAATGAACTTGAAAATAATGCAGTAAGTCTAACGCTTAAAAACAGTTTTAAAAGAATGAAAAAAAACCTCATATAGGACAACAAACATTAAGACAACAAAAATATAGAAGTATAAATCATCTCCCATCAACTGCCGATTCTCGAACAAGTATTGAAAGTGAAACAGGAATACTCCTTTCTTTACAAGTAGCAAAACAACATAAACGTCGCAACTAATTCTCTGCAAGGAACGATTATATCATCAGCCACGAAGTAAACGAAAAAGCTATTTCTAGCAACACAACAAACAACAACAACAATAAAATTAATGACTATGTTCTCTTAAAGGCCATGGGCCTGCATAATCTAAATGACCATAACATCAGCCGACCAAGGGCGCAACCATGCATGCGTAGGCCTTCCGGTGTAGGTCAGAATTCTTCTACATTTATTAGAAGGCACTTCATTTGGAATTCTGATGTGTTAGTAGGTCAGAATCGACTTGTGAATTCTTGGTTGTTGAATACTCCCAAAAGAGTTTTTTCCGTCGTAAATGACTGCCGGCCTTCAGAATTTAATCAGTGACTTTCAACTCATAGTGACTAAGTCAATGACTTGGACGTTTTTCACTAATTGAGTCATATAGCAAGCGTTTCAAGGGGAAATGAGTAAGTTTGTTTTTCGTTTTATTAGCCTCGTTGATTGTTTGTTATATTTTGGAATACTGCTTTAAATACATAATTTGTAAAACTATATAAAAATAAGTTTAATTAAAATATGTAACATTTTTAATTAACCTAATGTTTAAGAAACAGCGTACAATTAAAAATATTTTATTTCGTGTGTTTATCTCAAATTTTTAAACTTTTATTTAAATATGTATGCTAAATATTCCACTAATGTAGTCTACGTAAACAGCTGAATATCGAAGCAGAAAAGTTTTAAAATCATTTTAATACATAGTCGACCATGGGCAAATATAAATTTTTAAATAATTAAAAATTTACTCTGCAACTATAGATTTAACTAAAAGAATATCTTAAAATGCATTATGATAAACTCGGCAATTTCAGCTTTATTTTTTTTAAACTTGGAAATATTTTTAAATATATTTAATGTTATTAAACATTATTTACATGGTGTAAATAATGTAATCTTTTCAAACCTGCTGGCTTTGTCGTATTGAAGATTTTTTAAAACAATTTTTGTTGCTGAAATACATTAAAATTTTTTCTAGAGAAGTAAAAATTTTTAACGTGATTGTGAAATATAGCATAGTAAAATTACATAATATCATTTATGTAAAATATAGAATATAATGTTAAAAAAAAGTACAAAATAAGAAAAAAATACAATTACCACCTAGCTTTTGTTTTAAAAGTAAGAAACTTAATATTTATTTTGATATGTATTTGAAAATAAAATGTCTAGCTGTTTCTCAAGAAAGAAACATCCATGAAATTATGAAATAATATTTAATGTTAATAAACATTATTTGCATGGTGAAAATAGCGTAATCTTTTCAAACATGCTAGCTTTGTCTTATTGAAGATTTTTTTGAAGCAATTTTTGTTGCTGAAATGCATTAAAATTTTTTACAATATATAGTGTTAAGCGTGAGAGCGAAATATAGCATAGTAAAATTGCATAATATCTTTTATGTAAAATATAGAATATAATGTTAAAAAAAGTACAAAATAAGAAAAAAATACAAATATCACCAAGCTTTTGTCTTAAAAGCAAGAAACCTAATATTTAGTTTGATATATATTTGAAACTAAAATGTTCAGCTGTTCCTCAGGAAAGAAACTTCCATAAAATTATGAAATCTAAAAGTTAAGAGAAAATGCGCATTCTATTAAAATTGACTTTCTAATTTTTAAGCATTTCAAAGAAAAGTCCCGAAAAACTAACCCTAATTACTTAATCGATTTTGAGTTCGCAAAATATGCGAGTAAATTGCTTTGTGTGCTGTAATTGATAACACATTCCTAATTTAGGCACCATCTTCCATAGTGAAAATTCTCTTTTCCATTAAGTAGTTGGTCACGCAAAATATTCATTATCTAAAGCATCCATCATTCTAAAGTTCACGCAAAGTATACGCATTTAAATTAAATACCCTGATTAATTTCATTTTGTTCAAAGGTGAAGAAAATATATTCATTGTATACCACTGATAATAAAGTTTTCTTCGAGATAACTGCTATAAAAGTCCCATGCGATACAGGAATAATTCTAAAATTTTAATTATTTTTGAAGATGATGAATGCTTTGTTCTTCATAATTTACATTTGAATGAAATTTAGAAGCAAGTTACTGAATAAAATTTTTGTACCCATTAATCATTTTGATTAATAGGGAAGACCCTCCTTCATTTTGTAAGACAAATTTCTGACTTACAAAATGAAATCATGTTAAAGCGGGTGCTTTCAGAAATTAAAATAATGAGAAAATGATCGGTGTGGTATAAAGTTTATTTACGTAATAGCACTTTTTTTTCAAAAAATCACGTCTTCTATCTCGCCATGATCCTGAATAAAAGCATTTAACTCTTCGAATATACTTAGTGCAAAGCTTACCAGTGTCCATCAGCAAACAGAGTGAGAATGTCCACTATGTACTTTTTTTTCTTAAAGGAAATATAATAGCTTTATACGCTAAGCAAAATCGGAAATAGTATTAAATATTCGTGGTCAGAAAATACATAAAAAGGTGATGGTTGAAAGAAAGAATGCATATAAATGGTTTAAAATAATTAATTGACTCATATAAATTTGGCAAGATATTTAATATTAATTACTCAAATAAGCCAATATATTATATTTAACCAGTTTTTAAAATTTCTTTTTGCTCTCAATTTTTACTTTTTTTTTCTTTTTTGAAAACTTGAACTGTCTAATAAAGTTTGTCTCCTGAAATTACTTTAGTAAAACTTTAATTCAAAACTAGCTCGTAATCACTTCATTTTAAAAAGAAAGGTAAAAAAAAGAAATAAAAAGCTGAACGTTGAATGGGAAATAATAAATTGACTAATATAAATATGACTTAATATTTCATATTAATTTCTCAAATAAGCAAGTATACTATTCTAAACCAGTTTTTACGATTTTTTTCTTTCAATTTTCAATTTTTTCTTTTTAAATTCCGAACGTAAATACAAATTGAACTGTCTAGTAAAATTTGTCTCCTAAAGTTACTTTAGTAATAAGTTCAATTCAAAAGTAGATATTATTCACTTTATTTTAAAAAAAAGATTTGTAGTTAGCTATATGTGGTATACAATAGATAGGTAGGTGATATTAACTCGTTTGAATGTAGTTTTTCAAACCACTGGTAATTGGCAAGATAAAACAAGATGTTTAAAAATTTAAGAAAAACGTGTGCAAACAAAATAAATCTGAATTTTTATTGACGATAATAAGATCTAATGCATGCAGGTTGTCATTTTTATTCAATAGATAAAGAAGTGTTAGAAATCTTTAAACATATTTTGTAATCCCTTTTAATACAAGTGGAAATTATTACGAAACAATATAACAACATCGGTGTGTGTTAAATGAATCACGATTGTAATTACTTTAAAGGTATATGTAACTAGCACAAAGACTAAAACATTTTTGAAAATGAGTTAAATATAAATTTAGATTCCCTGTACTCTTAGTTTTCTAAAAATGCCTTACTGTCATTTTTTATTTTGTTTGTTCACAATTATTTACATAGTTATCCCAGTTTTTGTGCAAGGTGATAACAGTGGATTGACTAATGATTTTAATTTTTTGAATGTGTTTATCTCGCAATCTGATATCTTCCCATTTTATTGATCCATCCACCTTAAACACGTTATCTCATGTTATTTTCAAAATAATTTTCTACAATTTTTCACGGGAGGTTATGATCATAGCACACATGTTTTGAAAAACAGGCAAAGAGAAAAAAAGTAGAATTTAATTTTTTATGCATATTTTTTCGCAAAGACAAGTAAGGAAATTTTTAAAAATTTGTTTTTTTTACTACATTGATCCCTAACTGAGTAGTATATATAGTTACTTTTAAAGTGATCGCTCAAAACATAGCTTATAGCCTTCTAAATAAAATCCTCCAAGGGTCTTTTGTTTTGAGAGATAGAATTTTTTTGCAGTGTTTTTTTTTGCAGTATGTTAAATGTTATCCCAAAAAAAGCCTTATTTTTTATCTAAAAATGGCCATTTAAAAAAAGTACATATTCATAGTTTCTTTGCTGGTTTTACAAGTTTCTACTCATGATTAAACAAATAAACTAGTTTTTAAAAATGTTATGTTAATATTTAAAAAAAATTGTCAAAACTATTTGGTTACCTTAAACACGTATGTATTCTCCGTAATATCAGGAAAGACGTTTAGATTAAATATAAATTGAAAATAGTGTATCTACAAAAACAAAGCTAAAAATTAAGAAAATAAAAATTTTAAAGAACTATATTTATCGACTCACACGCACGCACATAAAGAACAGAAAGCAGCTTATAACTAATATTTCTACATAGTGTTAAGTAGTTTAAAAATCTAACTACGTGTTAAACTATTCGTACAGTACTAATTTTATCAAAAAGATGTTATTAGCTAAATTTCTAAATATTCTCTCCAAATTAATTTATAATTAAAACATATTTCTAAATTCTCATTTTAAACTCTCTTAATTTCATTGAACAAAAATTTTTAATCATCGTTTAAACCTTTTTTTAACGCCTACCATAAATTAATTTTCAGATTCTCTATAATTTTTATCGGAAATTCTCATCAACAATATTTTCATTAAAGCTATGGAAGTATTTTCATTAAAAAATGCATTTTCACATTCTGAACCTCTTGAAAAATTCATGACGAAAATTAATTTAGCTTTGCTTAAACTTCTCAACTTTTACAATTAAATAGCGAACGCTTGAGAAAACAGCCATCCGTGCATATAAAAGCATGCCTTTTACTTTCGTTTTCTGAAATATGTAATTAAAAAGAACCTTCCAAGGCATTTTTTCTTTAACTACTTCAACAATTAAGTACATTATTTGTTCTCGTAAATGGTTGTCAGAAAATGACTCTGTATCTGCTCTTATAAATAATTTCGCTGAACAATTTTATGTACCCCAGGAATTAGCAATTTCCGCTAATGTCATTAGTCATTTTCCTTCTGACCTGAATTTAAATAAAATCAAGACAGCACTTTCATACTTAATTATCTTACCTTTGCGTAATTGCGCCAATTTTCTTTCATGTAAATAAAGTGTGCATTATCATCTTTATAAGTATGTAATCTTGTTTCTTCCATAGTTAAAAATGAACTTAATTAAGCAGTTAATTTTAAGATTTAAGGTACATAGTTTTTTTTCCTAAGCACTTAGATTAGTTAGGGCTATATCTTGTACTGTGTTCTGGATACAAAAAAAAACTTAACAAGACAATTATTATTTATTTATTTTTTTCTCTTTAGCTCTTTTTTTTTACTCTGCGTAATGAAAGAAGCATTTCACAGTAATGAATGGTACAATTATTCTAATAAACTATAGTTAAAGCTGCCATTTATATTGCATGAGAATGAAACACAAAAATATTTAAAAATGCAGAAATAAAGGGGGGAAACAGGATAAACTTTATTCAACCAAAAAATTTCCCCTATCATATAATAAATTAG